GCATACTTCCCTCTATATAGATGTAGTTCCATTGAGGACTACATGCTGAGTGTGGTTGGTCAGCCAATTATGAATCCATCTTCCGGTGATGCTATCTAACCCATATCTTACAAAGTAGTAGGTTGTGGTCTACTTTATCAAATGCCTTACTGAAGCCCAAGTAAATTATATCCACAGCATTCCTCTGGTCCACTAATTTTGTCACTTTGTCAAAGTGATGCTTGCTTGTGCTTCTCTGCTATGCAGTGACAGACTGCCATGAACTGTGAGGCGGGGGAATGAAGGGGGAAGCTTGGGGAAATGAAAGTAAGTGCTGTATCTCCTTGAGATGCTGCCTCAAGCTCACCCAGCTGGGAGAAGGAGGAAGCTGCATACAAAACCATGCTTGGACTGACTATTATGAAAACATATTGCCTGAACTTGATTGATGATACTGGGGTGGGCAATGAGAGATAATTAAGGGAGGGAAAAGTAGAACTTAAGGATTTTAGTGCACAATTCTCAGTTTTGCAATATTGCAGTACTCTTGACCTCTAATAAACTACCGTATTTTTTGGAGTATAAGATGCACTTTTCCCCCCTAAAAGAGGCTGAAAATTTGGGTCCGTCTTATACTCCAAATTTAGCCCTGCCCACATACTGGCCCCAACCCTTCGTTCGGCCTCTGTGCATCCTCTTCCTAGCTGCAGAGATTGCCACAGACAATGGCTTGTGTTTTTGGGCTCCACGCATCACGTTTTCAGCCTCCAAACGCTCAGTTTGAGAGCCCTTCAAGGCTGCGGGGATCGCCAAAGCACATCGCTGCCAATCACCGACCAAAAACATGATGCATTTGGAGACTAAAAACGCGACACACGGTACCCAAAATTGCTACCCCGAACAGCTGCTGCCTTCTCTTACCCCTTCCACGCTTTGCCTGCTTTAGTCACTGGAGCTCCCCCTGACGATCAGCTGTGCTTTTGAAGCTGTTTTTCAGCCCCAGCGAGGCACTTGCGAGTGAAGCAATCTTCCGCGCTTTGCCTGCTTTTTTCATTGCTGCTCCCTCCAACGATCAGCTGAGCTTTAGAAGCTTGTTTTCAGGTCCAACGAGGGTGCTCAAAACCAGCGAATGAACATGCTGAAGCTGACCAGGCTAAGGATGCTAGCCAGATGAATACCTGATAGGCAGAATTTTTTTCCCTATTTTCCTCCCCAAAAACAAAGGTGCGTCTTATACTCCAGTGCATCTCATAGTCCGAAAAATACAGTATACCTTTCTCAATAAATGGAGCCAGGATTGTTTCTATTTGGAGGCTTAAGTAGTGGCAGGTCCAACAATACTTTTGATTTCACTGTATCCATGGATTGCTTCGTCTATCGCTTTTTTGCTCTTTAATCTTCTCAACTCTTTTCGCGATGTTATCATCCACATCCAGGCCAGCTTCCCATTCCTTGCACTCCGTTCACTATTTTTCCATGCAGGTAGTCCTCAGCCTTATAACCATTCAGTTTTACAAAGGCACTGAAAAAGTGACTTTATTTCTATAGTAAAGAGAGAAATAGTGATTGATTGTGGAAAGAAATTGCTTGGGGCAACTTCGAAAGATTAAAAGTTCACAGTTCTAGAGGGAAACGTTCTAATGTTGTTAAAAATTTGCCCACTTAGGCAGTGGGGTTTTCCCCCCCCCCTTTTGACTTTCTTTCGCTCACTTTTGCCTTCGCTCTTCCGACTTTTCTACCCAACCCTGCTGTAGTTCCCCACCGCAGGTCCCCTTTCCTTGCAAGAGACAACTTCAGAGGCTAAACAAATTGGACATTAATCTCGAATTTAATTGCTGTTCATTTACAGAATTCCTGTGCTGCTGCGTATATTAAGACAAGCAATATTTTTTTTTTAGTTCCTGTTCTGCTCTTTTTGTTCACCAAGTTCTCCCAAGGATCATTAAGATTTAGGCCCAGTTTTCATTCATGTGTCACATAAACAGCAGGCCCACTTTCACTTTCATTGGAGGGGGAATTAGTAGATGTCTACATCGATTCAATTGATGGATGCAAATCTTCCAATGAGAAATCTCCAAAAATCTTAGTGACTTCCCTTCATTGATTCTCACCAGCTACTAAGTTCAACGAAAGGAACAAGATTTGGAATTGATCTTGATAAGGAAACCTCACTAGACATCACCAAAGTCTAAATTCCAACTACGATAGTCCTTTTTTTTTAGCCATCGCAATTGTGACTGGCAACTCACTTGTTAAACAAAGCGGTTGCCAAGGGAAACCGTTACTATGCTTATGATCTTAGTTCAGCTTTCCTTTGTTTTACAGTCCTGCAAAGGTCATTACTGCAAGGACTGGGTGCAAAGTTACTTTTTCAGCAGTGTCAAAACTGCAATGGTCGTTAAACGAGGCAGTCGCTAATCCAGGATGACTGGCACACATTTCATCCCTTTTTCATTCCATTTATATCCTGTTGTTTTATTGGTAGCAAGACCAAGGCAGCTGGCCACTTAGGAAGATGCAGCTCACATAGGAAGGATTTTGCAACACAATATTAGAAACACGATTGTGAAAACTACTTTAAAGAATTTGAATAGATGTAGTCCTCGACTTACGACAGTCCGTTTAGTGACTGTTCAAAGTTACACTGAAAAAAGTGACTTATGATAGTTTTTTCACACTTACAACCATTACAGGAGCCCCAGCAGAGGTGGGTTTCAGCAGGTTCTGACCAGTTCTGGAGAACCGGTAGCGGACATTTTGAGTAGTTCGGAGAACCGGTAAACACCACCTCTGACTGGCCCCACCCCCATCTATTCTCTGCCTCCCAAGACCCAGATCGGGAGGAAATGGGGATTTTGCAGCATCCTTCTCCTGGAGTGGGGAGGGAATGGAGATTTTATAATATCCTTCCCCTGTCACGCCCACCAAGCCACACCCACCAAGCCATGCCATTCCCACCAAGCCACACCCACAGAACCAGTAGTAAAAAATTTGGATCCACCACTGAGCCTCAGTGTCATAGGATCAAAAGGGAAAGGAAAGGAAAGGAAAGGAAGGGAAGGGAAGGGAGGGGAGGGGAGGGGAGGGGAGAGAAAGGAAGGGGAGGGAAGCGAAGGGGAGGGGAGGGGAAAGGAAAGGAAAGGAAAGGAAAGGAGGGGAGGGGAGAAGGGAAGGGAAGGGAGGGCAGGGGAGGAGACGGGAGGAGAGGAAAGGAAAGGAAAGGAAGGGAAGGGAGGGCAGGAGAAAAGAGGAGAGAGGAGAGGAGAGGAGAGGAAAGGAAAGAGAAAGAAAGAAAAGGAAGGGAAGAGAAGGGAAGGGAGAGAGGGGAGGGGACGGGAAGAGAGGAGAGGAGAGGAAAGGAAAAGAAAAGAAAGGAAAGGAAGGGAAGGGAAGGGAACGGAAGGGAGGGGACAGGAGGGGACAGGAGGAGAGGAGAGGAAAGGGAAGGGAAGGGAAGGGGAAAAGGGAAGGGGGAAGGAAAAGGGAAAGGGAAAGGAAACCTATTCTCTTACATTCTGTCCAACTCAGAGTCACCCACAGGATGGGGCAAAAAAGTCAAGATGGTGCTCGTGCAGGTATCACCCAAATCCTTAGCTCTTTGTATCTGGGAGTTCAACCGCTTGGTTGTTACGGCCATTTTCCCTTTCTTGATTCTGACCCCATCGTCACAGACGTCCCTGCTTCAGGCCCAGGACATCAATGTGTCAGTACAGTCTTTGTGTTACAGGATGCTCTTGGAAGTTGGGCTGAAGAGATCCAGTTGAGACCTTGAATTCAGCCACATGTACTCTTTTCTGTTTTGATCTTTTTCATCCAGCTTGCGTAACTTTAAAACCGAATGTTTTCCAAATTTGTGAGTATCTTGGGAGACTGTTTGCACAGCAGCAGCCATTCATTCATATATGGTGACCTTGCCCGTTGTCTGTTCATCAATTGACAGATTAAAGCCTGGATTTATGTTAATTGATTTCCCAATTAGAGCAATTAGCTTCAATCCAGCTTCTTCACATCTACAGTCAGGGCAGTCTGCAGTTCATTCGGTGACTGTTCAAAGTCACAACGGCCCTGAAAAAAGTGACTTCACGACCATTTATCACACTTATGACCATTGCAGCATCCGCCATGGACCTGTAATCGAAATTCAGATGCTTGGCAACTCATACTTATGACGGTTGCAGCCTCCTGGGGTCATGTGATCCCCACTTGCGACCTTCTGACGAGCAAAGCCAATGGGGAAGCCAGGTTCTCTTAACAATTGTATTAGTAACTTAACAACTGCAGTGATTCACTTAACAACTGTGGCAAGAAAGGTCATAAAATGGGGCAAAATTCACTTCACTGTCTTGTTAGCCACAAAGATTGGGGGGCTCAATTGTGGTCGTAAATCGAGGACTACCTGGGAACTGTCAAGGGGAAAACCACCACATTGGCAGGACAAGCTACTGTATATAAAGAGAGAGCAAACCCCACACCCATTTGCACTGATGATGTTACCTAATGGGGGAGTGAAACGTCTGCAAGCAAACAACTAAGCTTAGAGAAACGGCATACATGAATATTTTTGTGTGGAGGTATGTTGGGTTTGAGTGTCAGGAGTTTTTATGGATTTTAAAAAATCTTTTCATTGTGATTTTATGATCCGCCCAAGGGCATAGTGCATAAGTTGGGCAACTACATCAGTCTTTTAAATAAATAAATAAACACACATAAATAAATAAGCTGGATTTGCAATAGCAAAACACTGGGAAGGTTGATAATGGCAAACACATGATACAATACAATCCTTGGTGGTATAAATGGAGGCATAATCATGAAGTATGGAGTACCACCAGGGATGGGTTCTACTTACCTTTACTACCGGTTCACAACGGGATCGCGCTCGCTCGCATGTGCGCCTTGCTTCTGCGCCTGCACAGAAGCTTCTGCGTGTTACAATATTGAGGATCAGACCCAATAACAGACATACGCACGTTGCTAGTTAAGCAGTTAAGAGTTTATTGACATTGTTCTTCTTGTTACAGGAATCATCTGCAAGTACATCTGGATCCGCGTGGGACAACCTTAAATACCTGGAAGGCGGAGACTGGGGTAAGGAGTGGCCTAGGTGGGAAGTGTATATGTGATTTATGTGCGTTAACCCTTGCAGTGCTGAACTGTATGTACCTGCTCGTGTGGGTGGGGCATTTATATGTGACACTGCGCATGCGCAGATCGCTTCTGATGATGTCAGGGTCAGTGGGCGGAGCCTCCCGCCAGTTTTACTACCGGTTCTATAGAACCGGTCCGAACCGGGGGCAACCCACCACTGAGTACTGCTTTATAAACCCTTAGTAAGGCCACACCTGGAATACTGCATCCAGTTTTGGTCACCACAAAACTGATGTTGAGACTTTGGGGAAAAGTGCAAACGAAGAACAACTAAGATGATTAAAGGCCTGGAGACAAAAAATATATGAAAAACGGTTGCAGGATTTGGGTTTGGCCAGTCTAGAGAAAAGAAGGACGGGGGGGGGGGCATGATAGCAGTATTTCAGTATTTGATAGACTGCCATAAAGAGGAAGGGATCAACTTATTTTCCAAAGCACCAAAAGGCAAGACAAGAAGCAATGGATGGAAATTAATAAGGAGAGAAGCAACCTGGTATTAAAGAGAAACTTCCTAACACTGAGAACAATTAACTAGTGGAACAGCTTTCAGTCAGAAGTTGTGGCTGCTTCATCACTGGAGGTTTTTAAGAAAAGACTGGACAGTCACTTGTCTGAAATGGCATATGATCTTCTGCTTGGTCTCCTGCTCGAGCAGGGAGTTGGATTAGAAGACCTTGAAGGTCCCTTCCAGCTCTATTCTGGTTGATTGATTGATTGACACCAGAATGCTGCAGCCACCGTGTATATATGAATTTTGATATTGATTGTGGGGATGCTGCAACTGTTTAAGTGTGAAAACAAGTCACCGGTCCCTTTTTTTCAGCGCCTTTGAGATTTTGGATGGTTGAAAGTCGAGGACTTGCCTATACTAAGATAAACCAGTCTTTATCTTTAACCCTAAATCAGTGTTTCTCAATCAGGGCAATTTTAAAGTGCATGGACTTCAACTCCCTGAATTGCCGGGTCAGGAACTTTTAAATAAATAAAATGCATAAATAAATAAATGTATAAATAAATAAATGCATAAATGCATAAATAAATGCATAGATAGATAGATAGATAGATAGATAGATAGATAGATAATAGATAGATAGATAGATGATAGATAGATAAAAATAATAAAATAAAATAAAAATAAAATAAAATAATAAAATAAAATAATAAAATAAAATAAAATAAAATAAAATAAAATAAAATAAAATAAAATAAAATAAAATAAAATAAATAAGCTGGATGTACAAATAGCTAAACACAAGGAGAAAGTTAGCCTATCAAAAGAAAGATTCTGTCTGGACTTTACCCTGATACAGTATGCTCATTTTTTTTATGTGCAAAGTGTAAATGTGTGTATATATGTGTGTATGTGTGTGTATGTAAGAGATGGAGGGAAGGGCAGACAGAAAACCAAACACGTAATGGATTGCAAGGGTCGGGTTTTAATAGGAAGAATCTAACTAACTCCGGAGGTGCTTCCCACAATGAAACTCCTATCATTGATATTGAAAGGATCCCAATTGTGATTCTTGGAAGTAAAAAGCATCCCTCAAGAGATATAGTCACTCATAGCCCATCAATCAACTCTTAAAACCTCCAGTGGTCTGAATCCGAACTTTTAAAGCATTGTCTTCATAGAAATGTTTCCTTTTTTTTATTGCAAATACTCCACAGTTTTGTTTTACACCAGAGCAGGATGTTTTAATTTATACAGGTAGTCCTCAACTTACAACAGCTCCATTTAGTGACCGTTCAAAGTTGCAACGTTACTGAACAAAGTGACTTATGGCAGTTTTTCACCCTTACAACTTCTGGAGCATCCCTAATGGTCACGTGATCAAAAGTCAGATGCTTGGCAACCGATTCGCATTTATTTTTTTTTTTAAATTTGATTTATATGCCGCCCTTCTCCGGAGACTCAGGGCGGCTTACAATGCGTTAAGCAATAGCCTTCATCCTTTTGTATATTTATACAAAGTCATCCTTATTGCCCCCACAAACTGGGTCCTCAATTTACCTACCTTAGAAAGGATGGAAGGCTGAGTCAACCTTGAGCCTTGGCGAGATTCGAACCCTGCAGTAATTGCAGGCAGCTGGTCTTAATAACCAGCTTAATAACAGGGTGCCTTAAACCCCTGTACTACCAAGGCTCTTGGCATTGATGACGGTTGCCGTGACCAGCTTTTGCAACCTCCTGACAAGGAAAGCCAATGGGTAAACCAGACTCACTTAACAACCATGTTACTAAAATACCATTGGAGCTGAGGTGGCGCAGTGGTTGGAGTGCAGTACTGCAGGCTACTTCAGCTGACTGCTAGCTGCAGTTCGGCAGTTCAAATCTCACCAGGCTCAAGGTTGACTCAGCCTTCCATCCAGGGGTGGGTATCACTTACCTTTACCACTGGTTCTCCGCTCGCGCGCGCTGTCCACAGATTCGCCCAACTTTCTGTGCATGCGCTCTGCTCGCTCACGCACCTTCCGCACATGCACCCGGCCTCGAAAACATGCCTAAATAGCACGACTTGGAGCCAGGGCCGGTGGGCGGGCCCACTTGTGATTGCCGCTACCAGTTCACCCAAAACGGTGCGAACCGGCTGAATTCCCCCACTGCTTCCATCCTTCCGAGGTGGATAAAACGAGGACCCAGATTGTTGGGGGCAATAGGCTAACTCTGTAAACCGCTTAGAGAGGGCTGGAAAAGGACTATGAAATGGTATATAAGTCTACCGTATTTTTCAGAGTATAAGACACACCTTTTTCCGCCCTAAAAGGGGGTGAAAATTTAGGTGTGTCTTATACACCGAATGTAGCCCCACCCACACACTGGCCCCCACCCTTTGGCTCTGCCTCGCAGCAGTTTACCTCCTTGCAGCAAGCAGCAAGAAAAAACAGCCCCTTTCAGCTTCAGCACAGCCTAATTAGCACAAGTTGATTGGATCGGCCTCCCGACTCTCAGCTGATTTGCTCTCAGCTGTTTTGTGCAGGGCTCTGCTGCTTGCTGCAAAGAGGTAAATTGCTGGAGCAGATTTTTTTTTTTTCCTTGTGCTAATCAAGCTATGCTGAAAACGAAAATGAAAGTAAAGCAGGCTGTTTGCTGTTTGCTGCAACAAGGCAAAATTGCTCCGAGGCAGAGGGAGATTTCTTTTTCTTCTTTTCCTCACCAAAAAAGGTAGGTGTGTCTTATACTCTGAAAAATATGGTAAGTGCTATTCCTATTCCTAAAACAACTTCAGTGATTCACTTAACAATGGTGGCAAGAAAAGTTAGAAAACGGGACAAAATTCGCTTAACAAACGTCTCGCTTAGCAACATAAATTTTGTGCTCAGTTGTGATCGTAAGTCAAGGACTACCTTGTACATCCTTCTCCCCCCACCCCCCAGAAGACAAATCTTCATTTCTATTCCCGTAATGGTTTTTAATGACCTTGCTTATTTCCCTCTTTCCTGACTGTGTAGCCAAGGGTGCCTTGTTCCTTAAAGCTGATCGTCGGCTCTCTGTCTAATAATGATTTGGATGTCACAGAAGTATAAAAAAGACAGTTATAAAAACAGCATAATGAGAGAATGAGAATGGATCAGCAACAGAAGGATCACCCAGGGTTGGGCAGGAGTTGCTCTGAGCCATATTCTTTCATCACAGAGATATGGAACAGGAATGAAAGGTTACCCTTCCTTCACTATCTACTTAAATCTAATTTTTTTATATATATAAAACATCACCAGTTCTCTACAATAATGAAAAGAGAATCCCACTAAACTCTGGTCTGCATCTGCAAAAGAGGAACCCCTCCCACCCACCCCCGAGATTCAGCAAAAGAGGAAAAATTAGTCTTTCAAAGTGAAATGAAAGTTCTTTTTCCTTGGCAAGAGATATGTAACCTTCAATAGCCCAACGGTGCTCAATTTGTATCGGGAAAGTTCATCCATTGATCCATCTGGATCAGGGGTGAAATCTAAAAATTTTCGCTACCGGTTCTGTGGGCATGGTTTAATTAGTGGGTGGGGCTTGGTGGTCAGGTGACTGGGTGGGCGTGGCTTGGTGGTCAGGTGGGCATGGCCAACTTGACGTCACTTTGTTGCCCTTTTTTAACCTACAAAACACAACACAACACAACTGGCTCACCCACAAGGTAAAAGCAGCTGTGCTAGACCCAAAATGGCCCCTGCAACAAGCAGGAACCTCACACAGCCACAAAAAGCCCAAAAAAACAACTTTCACACTTTACACACACAAAATTCCACATACAGCTTTGTGAGATTTTGTGTGTTTGTGTAGTTAGAGTGAAACACTAAAGAAACACACAAAATCTCAGAAAGCTGCACTAATATTATTTTATTTTGTTTTAGTTTTATTTTTATATAAAAGCAGCTAAATTTAAAACTTCCTAAACTTTAAATGGCTAGGTCTAAAAAAAGAACAACTAAAAAAAACCCAATTAACTATTTTTTTTAAAGCTCCCAAAGGGGAAAAAAACTTACAGGCAGGCAGGAAGGCAGATAGAGCTGCTCACCGATGAGCTTGATTGCAGGCAGGGAGATTCAGTTGCTTGCTGATGCAACGGATTGCAGGGATTACAGCAAGCGAAGCAAGGTAGGCGTTGCGACTAGCAGCTAAAGTAAGCAAGCTGGAGGCTGGGGGGGAGGGATTTTTGCTACCAGTTCTCCGAACTGCCCGCCGCCATCGCTACCTACTCGCCCAAGCTGGTCCAAACCGGGAGCATTTCGGCCCTGATCTGGATGGTATAAAGCAGAGGTCTTCAAACTTGGCAGCTTTAAGACTTGTGGACTTCAGCTCCCAGAATTCTCCAGCCAGCTATGCTGAAGAATTCTGCGAGTTGAAGTCCACAAGTCTTAAAGCTGCCAAGTTTGAAGACCTCTGGTATAAAGACTTCTTGCCTTGGGCAGGGGGTTGGAGAAGACCTCCATGATCCCTTCCAGCCCTATGATTCTATCCATCCATTTATTCATCCATTTATCCTAACAATTCAGAAAGTAGTCAAGGACCTTCTTTCTGGGGGGAGGGGGGGCTGGACTAGATGACCTACAAGGTCCCTTCCAACTCTTGCTAATCTGTTGTTATTGTTCTTATCTAAAACATAAAAATATAAGTGATCTTCCACTTATAAAAAGCCACTTAGTGAACATTTGAAGTTACAACAGAATTGAAAAAAGTGACTTACAAATCAGAATCAGAATAGAGCTGGAAGGGATCATGGAGGTCTTCTAGTCCAGCCCCCTGCTCAAGCAGGAGATCTATACCATTCCAGACAAGTGGCTGTCCAGTCTCTTCTTAAAAACCTCCAGTGATGAAGCACCCACAACTTCTGGAAGTAAGCTGTTCCATTGGTTGATTGTCTTCCCTGTTAGGAAATTTCTCCTAAGTTCTAAGTTGCTTCTCTCCTTGATTAGTTTCCATCCATTGTTTCTTGTCCTGCCCTCAGATGCTTTGGAGAATAAATTGACCCTCTCCTCTTCTTTGTGGCAGCCTCTCAAATACTGGATGATTGCTATCATGTCCCCGCTGTCAGTCCTTCTTTTCTCTAGACTAGCCAAATCCAAATCCTGCAACCGTTCTTCCTATGCTTTTAGTTTCCAGGCCTTTAATCATCTTAGTTTGAACTCTTCTTTGCACTTTTTCCAAAGTCCCAACATCATTTTGTAATGTGGTGACCCAAACTGGATGCAGTATTCCAGGTGTGGTTTTACCAAGGCTTTATAAAGTGGTACTAATACTTCACGTGATTTTATTTTATGAGATGACCCCACAATCATCCTTCTGCTCAGAGGTGGGATTCACATACACTTCACATACACTTTTGTGATGTCCACACATGCATGCGGCATTACAAAACATGGCAATTTGCTCACGCGCACCATCCACACATGCGTGCGATGTCAGACAACACGGCAATTTGCTCGCACGCGTCATCCATGCATGCGGGTGGCATCAAAAACATAGCAATATAGGACGGGATTGCGCCCGGGCGGACCCACCTGCAGATCGCCACTACCGGTTCACCCAAATCTGTCCGAACCGGCTGAATACCGCCTCTGCTTCTGCTCATACCACCAAAATCCTTCTCTTCTCAGTATATAGCTACAGGGAGAACCATTTGGAACACACCATCCACACATGTGCGCACCATCAGACAACATGGCAATTTGCTCACACACGTCATCTACACATGCGTGTGGCATCAAAAACGCAGCAATATAGGACGGGATTGCATCTGGGCGGACCTACCCACAGGTCGCCACTACCAGTTCACCCAAACCAGTCCGAACCGGCTGAATACCACCTCTTCTTCTGCTCATACCACCAAATCCTTCTCTTCTCTGTATATAGCTACAGGGAGAACCATTTAGAACAGATTTGCAAATTCTCTGTAAAACTCAGAAATTGCAACCCCGACTGAAATGAATGCATTTGACTAAAAGGGGGGGGGTCTTTGCAACCTTAAGTTCGTTTGCATAAAGAAAAATAAATAACACTTCTCTATTTTCTTCTTTCCGTTATATTGTCATAACAAGTATCCCATCAGGACCAGAGGTCAAAGATGTGAAGCTGCAAACAAGATTTTATGGCCTGAGAGAAGCCTTTATGTAAATATCTTCCCCTTTGTTTGTGCCTCTTTCTCCGTACGAGAAAATCTGTTCATTTTTCAGTACTGAGTGGTGGAACAACAAATCTCAATGTTATGAAGGGTGTGGGGAGAAAGCACAATTTTTTTCAGGATGTGCTTTATCTCACAGTGCCCGGAATATACACGGAGGGCTAAGATGCTGATGGAGGCAACATCAATTTTAATGCGGTGCCATTGGTGTAACCAAGAGAGTTGCTGCATAAACGATAAAAATAACAGATGGAAGGCCAATATCGTAAAAATGGAACCACGGGCAAATTATAAACCCATTTAGGGAGTTCATGCAGATAAAGCAGGAAAAAAGAAGTTCATTGAAATTACAAGGACAGAGTTTCCGCAGAGCATGAAAAGGCTTTCGTTGCTGCAAAAAAGGAGACAAAAAGTTTCAGAGCTCTATTTGCTACTTTGATCGCTGACAAATAGCAATACAATAAGCACTTAGATTTATGTACCACTTCACAGTGCTTTACAGCCTTCTCTAAGCCATTTACAGAGTCAGCATATCGCCCCCAACAATCTAGGTTCTCATTTTACTAACCTCAAAAGGATAGAAGGCTGAGTCAACCTTGAGCTGGCCAAGATCGAACTCCTGGCAATCGGCAAAATTAGCCTGCAATAACAATAGCAATAGCACTTAGACTTATATACCACATCACAGTGCCTTACAGCCCTCTCTAAGCAGTTTACAGAGTCAGCATATTGCCCCCAACAATCTGGGTCTTCATTTTACCCACCTTGGAAGGATGGAAGGCTGAGTCAACCTTGAGCTGGCCAAGATTGAACTACTGGCACTTGGCAGAGTTAGCTGGCAATAGCAATAGCTATAGCACTTAGACTTATATACCACATCACAGTGCCTTACAGCCCTCTCTAAGCAGTTTACAGAGTCAGCATATTGCCCCCAACAATCTGGGTCTTCATTTTACCCACCTTGGAAGGATGGAAGGCTGAGTCAACCTTGAGCCTGGTGGGAAGAACTGCCAAATTGCAGACAGCAGTCAGCAGAAGTAGCCTGCAGTACTGCACTCTAACCACTGCGCCACCAAGGTTGAGTAAAGGTCAGATAAGGAATTCTTCGTACCAGAATGGCACATTCACCAGAGTAAACATTTCAAAGGGCACATCACATACCTCACAAAGAACCACTTTTCCTATAAATACTTTAAGCCTCAACACCCAAATCTGTAGCTACCTTCTGAGTGCTGTCCTTTATGCTCTTAAATAGATATATCTCCTCTCCAAGCAGATGTCCACTCCAGTGTCACTCTTACACAATTGCGGCCCTGGCTCAGATCTGGACCTATATTCTTCTAACAACTTCAATTTACTGCAGCTACATTTCCCAGGATCCTCAGCCAGGAAGGATCTCCCACATAGAAATATATTTCCTTGGTGGAGATACTCAGAAAGTTTATTAACTAGTGTCATAAATAAAGTTCTGCATTTATTTCTACCATTCTCAATCGGACTGAAAAAGAATGAATGTGATTTTAAAATGTCCCGAAGAGAGAAGAATGTGAGATCTTTGCACCTAATTAATTAATAAGTACCCAAAGGGTATGTGTGGATATCTTGCCTTTAATTGTGTCCCATTTGTGGTCAGAAACTAAGGACTAACCCAGGGGTGAAATCCAGCAGGTTCTGACAGGTTCTGGAGAACCGGTAGCGGAAATTTTGAGTAGTTCAAATACCATCTCTGGCTGGCCCTAGAGTGGGGGTGGAATGGAGATTTTGCAATATCCTTCCCCCAGGAGTGGGGAGGGAATAGGGATTTTGCAGTATCCTTCCCCTGAAGTGGGGTGGGAATGGAGATTTTGCAGTATCCTTCCCCTGCCATGCCCAGCAAGCCATGCCCATAGAACCGGTAATAAAAAAATTTGGATTTCATCACTGGACTAACTCTATAATCAACCTATATAATCTACACAGAGGTAAGAGCCATTGGGTCTCATCTGTGCATTACAGAATAGTGTGCCACGTACACTATTTGCCCCAAAAAGCTGAATTTTGATTGAAAAAAATAACCTTTATTGTCACACTGACACACATTAGAAATGAAATTCTGATGCCCGCTCTCAAAAGAATATGTGTGTGTGTGTGTGTGTGTGTGTGTGTCTATACACACACACATCTATAGCAGAAAAAAAGTGTCTTGGGAGTTAACACTGTTGATACTATATGGTACAAAGCTATTACAGAGTTTAGTCATTGGATATCAGGAGACCTCCTCCCAGAAGATAACAGAAAACCGGTCATGACCATAGAACATAGAATAATACAATTGGAAGAGTACTCAGAGGTCTTCTAGTCCAGCGGTGGGTTTCTCCCGGTTCGGCCAAGTCGGTAGCGGTGATGATATGATGTCACCGAACCAGTTCTCTTTGTTCGGGAGCTGGGGGGCCCCGCCGCCCCGCCCCCCGTTATTCTTACCTTTTATTTGGCCCCGCCCCCAATTTTTCGCTGCCTGCCGAGTCCCAGCTGATTGGCTAGAAGGAAAAAAAAACTGTTTAAACTCTTGCCGCGGGGCTTCAAAGGGCCGCCCTACAGCTGATCAGTGTTAAAAGGCAATGTGGTGGTAGATCAGTGCGCTCGAAAAACAAATGGGTAGACCGGGACGCTCGAAAAACAAATGGGTAGACCGGGACACTCGAAAACAAATGGGTAGATTAGGACACTCCAAAAACAAATGGGTAGACCAGGATGCTCCAAGAACAAATGGGTAGACCAGGATGCTCCAAGAACAAATGGGTAGACCAGTACAGCTCTACAAGCAGTTAAAAGCCTGGTAGACCAGTACCTCTGCTAAATCCTAAAGAATTGTCACATGACCATCAAGCCACGCCCACAAAATAAGCCACACCCACAGAACCAGTAGTAAAAAAATTTAGAACCCACCCCTGTTCTAGTCCAACCCCTTGCTCAAACAGGAGACCCTATGCCACTCTTTTTGAAAGCCTCCCGTGACGGAGTACGCACAACTTCTGAAGGCAAGCCATTCCATTGATTACTTGTTGTCACTGTTAGGAAATCCTTCTTTATTTCTAGGTCACTTTTCTCCTTGATTAGTTTCCACCCATTGTTTCTTGTCTTGTCTTTTGGTGCTTTAAAAAAAAAACAAAAGACACCCCCTCCCTCGTCTTTGTACGAGTTCTTCAAATATTGGAACACTTCTATCCTTCCTTTGATTACAGCAGTGGCCGAAATTGTGGAAACCTTTTGGGAAAAGTGTATTTTTGAGGTTTGATGGCTAATAACACCACTTTTTTTTGGGGGGGGGAGTTTCAAGATAATCCTATTCCACTGCTGGGATGGCCTGGGAATAGCCCAGACCTTAACCCAATTGAAAATCTATGGAGCCGACTAAAGAAACTTGTTAGTCGGAAGCGGCCCAGCAATAAAACCCAGTTAATAGAAGCAATCATTCAATCTTGGTTTCACATTATAAGAGCTGCAGAACTAAAAGACTTGGTTCACTCCATGGGAAGACGTTGTAAGGCCGTAATTCATGCTAAAGGTTACCCAATTAAGTATTAATGGACATGGTGATCATTTTTGTATATCTCATTTTTTCTATGGTGATAATTTTGTATATCTCATTTTTTCTACATGTTTCACTTTTCTTCTTTATACTGTAACTGCTATTCTAATAGCAAATCCTTCATAAAAGTTATTGCATGACATTCTTGATTAAATTACCTTTCCATTGATATATAATTTTATGGGACTACTCTAAAAAAAAAGTGGTGTTATTAACTAGTTTTAGAAAATACACTTTTCTCAAAAGGCTTCCACAATTTTGGCCACTCCTGTAGACTAGCGCAGGGGTCAGCAACCTGCAGCTCTGGAGCCACATGTGGCTCTTTCACCCCTCTGCTGCAGCTCCGTCACTCAAAATATGCATCACAATAGGTTTTTAAATGATGGGGTGTTTTAATTTGTCTGGGCCAAATTGTTTAATTCGATTTTGTTTTTAATTTTGTATCTATGTATTTTTACTGTTTGGCTGTTCACTGCCCTGAGTCCTTCGGGGGTAGGGTGGTATATAAATCAAACAAACAAACAAACAAACAAACAAACAAACAAACAAACAAAACCACCAATGTGCGACACCCGCCGGCACGTGATTTATTGAGCTTTTCAACCCTTGGTAAGCCAACCATGGATAAATCCAAGAAAAGAAAAGTTTCAGAAGAAAACAGAATGTTTAATTCAACTACATATGCTAGTTTTGTGGCCACACAAGAAATTGTCAGGCACGGGGAGGGTTTTGTGGCTCCCGGTGTTTTCTTTTCTGTGGGAAACGGGTCGAAATGGCTCTTTGAGTGTTTAAGGTTGCAGACCCCTGGACTAGACATGTCTAATTCCTGTTACCGTACTGCAGATTCTGGTCAAGCAGCACTGATATGCCATGTCCTGGAGAGAAGGAAGTGAATTTCCAATAATTTTTTCTGCCGCCAGCTCCTGCCATGAGCCTGATGATCAAACAGCTTCATATAAATAGAAGGAAAATCAGAAGTGTGGAGGACCTACCTTGGATTATGAATTGGCTCACCTCTCACTTCCTTATACGAGGTTTGCTCTGGAGCCAAAACCTTTAATAGGTAACATATCTAGCCATCATGCCTTCCCGCTGCTAGAGATTATGCTTTAAGCATCCAAGAGACCTGATCTTAGTTCATCCCAAGGCCATCTGCCGTAGCACTGCCGTTCTTGCCCCCGTGACTTGGGCTAATTTTGTTTGATTAAGCGCACGCATGGCCAATCATTTTAACGACAACACTCTATTATGCATACCCTGAAATTTAACCGGGGGTTGTTCTAGATGAGGCTTTTACTCGTGCAGCTGGGAAGGCTAATTAGGGAGCGCTCCTTATTGTCCGTTCAATTTACATTCGCAGATGGAGCTAGCCGAGAGCCAGCCAGCCTGAATTCATTGATTGATCGATCAGCACTTTTATGCTCATTAAGAAGCAAAGCACGGTACAAGGCATTTCTCCCTTGGCATCGTTTCCTTTAGGTGTTGGCTACAATTTTGAACATCGATCCAGAGTTGATCCTCGTTTTATTTCCTTCCCCCTGGAAGGAGGAAAAAAAAATTACTCCATGAAGCGTGAACTCGGGGGATATATTTTATTGTACACCTTTAATAATCCAGGTATTGTGGTTACATCCTGTTTCTGCTGATAGGTCTGAATTTGTTCTCAAGAGCTGAGATTCACCTGAGTGTTACACTCCTACCATCTTGGAATACTGTGTCCAGTTTTGGTCGCCACGATGTATAAAAGATGTGGAAACTCCAGAAAGAGTGCAGAGAAGGGCAACAAAGATGATTAGGGGACTGGAAGCTAAAACGTATAAAGAATGGTTGCAGGAACTGAGTATGTCTAGTTTAATGAAAAGAAGGACTAGGGGAGACATGATAGCAGTGTTCCAGTATCTCAGGGGCTGCCACAAAGAAGAGGGAGCGAAGCTATTCTCCAAAGCACCTGAGGGCAGGACAAGAAGCAATGGGTGGAAACTAATCAAGAAGAGAAACAACCTAGAACTAAGGAGAACTTTCCTGACAGTTAGAACAATGAATCAGTGGAACAACTTGCCTGCAGAAGTTGTGAATGCTCCAACACTGGAAGTTTTTAAGATGTTGGATAACCATTTGTCTGAAGTGATGTAGGGTTTCCTGCCTAAGCAGGGGGTTGGACTAGAAGACCTCCAAGGTCCCTTCCAACTCTGTTATTCTTTACGCACAACAGAGATGTACTAAAAACCCATCGCAATTTGCGATGATGCAAATTGCAAAATGATGGTTCGTCACACAGTCAGACAGATGTTTAGGCTGGGTTTGGCATTTTTGTCCGCCTATCGAGTCCTTCCCTATACAGGTACAACAGTTCATTTAGTGACCGTTCAAAGTTACACCATCACTGAAAAAGCAATTTATGACTGCTTTTCACATTTACGACCATTGCAATGTGGCCGCATGATCAAAATTCAGATGCTTGGCAACTGAGTCTTATTTATGATGCTGGTTGCAGTGTCCCGGTGGTCACATGATCCCCTTTGGCGACCTTCTGACCAGCCAAGTCAATGGGGAAACCAGATTCACTTATGTTGTGGCCCGTCAGCGGCCTGTGCAGCTGGTAGCTGATTCCAACAGTGAGGAGGCTGGTGTGGTGCTGCGTCAGCAGCCTGTGCAGCTGGCACTCGAGTCAGACAATGAGGAGGCTGGAGAAGATGTGGTGAAGAAGCATGGGCGCGCAGAGCTGCCAGAAAGTAGGAGTGGCTCCTCAGGAGGAGGTCTCCTCGAGAGTAAGGCTTGGGGCTAATTGGCCACTCCCTTAGCCTATTTAAGGAAGGACGACGACTGAGGCAATTTGCAGAGAACAACTTCGTTCACTCTCCTTCACGTTTTGATCTTCGTTCTCTTATCAGTTTCCTGCAAATTGCTTCTGGGCTTTCTGCCAACCATAGTAAGATTACGATTATTTATTCTTTGGATTCTTGTAGGCTGTTAAGAAAGTTAATTAACAGCCTTTGTTTGAAAAAGACTGATTTAATTTAGTAAACTAAGGTTTGTACAGACCTTGTGTGACCTTGTGTGTGCTGCGTTCTTTGGGGTCCGTAGCTGGAGCAGAACAACTTAACAACCTCGTGACTAACTTACCAACTGCAGTGATTCACTTAACAACTGTGGCAAGAAGTCGTAAAATGGGGCAAAACTCACTTAACATATATTTCACTTAGCAACAGAAATGTTGGGCTTAATTGCGGTCGTAAGTGGAGGACTACCTGTAAATAAGTTTTTCCCTTTTGTTTTTTTTTTTTTTCTCAGTCAGCAACACAAGCTTTTTATGAGGCATTTTTGAATGATGCGGTTGTTTGCATGTCTTCAGTCAATGTCGTTCGCTTTCACGGGAAGAATATTAGAACATGATTACTGACAATACATCAATAATAAGGAGGTGGCATGTATGGAAGTGTTTGGTGGCAGGGAGAAGATGGATCTTGCTGAAGCGCTAATTTCCTCAGCGACAGGAGATGCGTGATGGCCGCTGCCGCTAAAACAGCCTTGCCAAAAAAGACAACCGTGAACAGGATGCTGTAAATCAAACAATGACTCGTTCAAAGAGAAACGGTGTCCAGAGACTTAACATTTGGTTGCAAAGACTTTATGAATTTTCTGTCAAACTGCAAAATGACTTCAGCTGAAGCCATGCTTACTTCTGCTTTGTTTCTTGATTACCATTCAAAGGGGAGGGGGGAGAGCATGGGGGAGGCCAGGGAACTCATAAATATGGTGCCTCAGCTGCAGCGGTGGGTTTCACAATATGTTACTACTGGTTCGCTGTTGTTCTGCCCCAGCTATGGGTCCCAAGAAGTGTAGCACACACACAGCTCCAAAAACTCTGTTTAATACAAACAGACCCCTTTCAAAATTCAGGCTTTAACCACAAATGTCCTTATCAGCCTGCTATGAATTACAGAGATT